ACTGTTCGATATTCTTTATTTCTCAGATGTGATTTTTGTTACTCCTTTAGCTGCTTGAGTCTTCTTGATTATACAGTATGTTTCTTAAATAAGATTGAACTTCAGCCTACTGTAGACCTGTTTACGCCATACTGCCCAGCAACATTAGGCATCTTCTGCCCACTCTCTACCTTTGCTATTATACTCTCACCTTTCGAAAAGAAAAACCGACGCAAAACTTAACGAGTGCCTACCCGACAGTCTCACGAATACATAAAATAATTGTTTTGTCAGAAAAATAAAAGGCTGAAATTACAAGGAAAAGTTTCAAAGTTCGGAGGAATAATATCCGATCGGTATATACTGGCTTGAGCATCGATGTCGATGTCTCCCACACTCCGAAAAGTTTTGAATTGTTGCCTGAAGACAAGGGAAGACCAATCGGTATTCATTAATTTACGTCGCTTCTTCTTGTGTTTGCTCTGTGGGGTGTTCGTTATCCGATCATGTGTTCGTTGTCCGAACATAAAAATCTTTCGCGAAAGTGTTCGTTATCCAATTTGTTCGTTATGCAATCTGTTCGTTAACCAATCACCCACTGTATTCAGTTTTCCATAGGATACTAGGTCTGCCTGTATGGGTACTGTACCTTGCTCTTTGTGGCAATTAGAATATCTAGTTACACATACGCTGACAAGAAAATTTCAAATTTCTTATATATCTATCTGTGAATCCTAATAGATATATAAGAAATTTGAAATTTTCTTGATGTTTTTGAGAGCCTTTGTAAATGTAACGAAAAAGGAAGATTAGAAAACAAGCAGATAATAGTAATGTTTTCACAACTCAAATAAGCGAGAATTGTTAAAAAAAGAAAAACTCTTAGCTTAAAAATTAAAATCAACAGAATTTAATTTTGGCAGCAAAAATTTATTATTCCAAATTAAGGGATACTCTGGGATAACCAATTAGTTCAAATTTAGCCTACTTCCCAATAGAATTTAGCCTAAATTTTAATTTAGAAAGTTTCTAGAGATATTTAAATATATTATAAAATATAAATCAGGAAAGTTTTAGATAATTTGTCTATTATAAAAGGAAAACCTGAGAGAGATCAATATATTTCAATATAATAAATAAAATTGATTTAAGTTTGGCAAGCACATGGTTTGGCACAAACTTTACATATAGACTTAACATTGTGAAATTTGGCTTGTAATAACTCCCATCTTGGGTCAAATTTTAAAATGCTGTTTGTGTCGTGATCTAGACCTAGATGGATTCTATTTGATTGAAAAAAATAATTTAAATAGTTAAGTGGTTTTAGAAGAGTTAATTATAAAGATTTATTTAGAATATTGTTACATAAAAACATTGGTTAGTAATATTCATTATAAAAATATCATTAATTATATTTTTTAGCAAGCTGTGTTATTTCTTCAAGAAAGTGGGTTAATTTATGATTATTGCTGGTATCCTTTGATGTCATCATTTGATCCAGTTACATGTTGGTAAGTAGAATTTTAGAAAAAATTGTAGCATCTTCTACATTAGTTCTGATGAATCTGTGACCTGTGTGACAATTTTAATATTCACATTGAATGTTTAGAAAGTATTAGGTTTTTATAAATTAAAAATACAGTTGACCCTCCCTATAACATGGTAGATACGTTCTGGTTTTTATGAAATCCATTTTCTACAAGTCCTTAAATACATGAGCCAATCACAGCTCGACATGTATGCAGTTTACGGACTATGGCTGTTTGAAAGCTTTTCTTCCATAAAATTAATCGATTCTAGACTAATTTGATTCAACATTTCCAAAATATGTATAATTTTTTGGGAATAATCCATATAACCTATGCTATAAACAAAAAATTGTAGGATTACTTATCGAGTGTGCACCGTTCGACAACACCATTGCTTAAGCTTGTTTTTGTCATGGAGCGGTGCATTGAATGGCGCTCACATGCTTCCTGATAAATTATTTTTCTGTGAAAACTTTGCTGAACTTTGGAGACATTATTAATATAAATATAATTTTTATGGACGTTAAATAATAAATGGTTTTTAGTAGGTCTGCTGCTCATTTAAACTCAACGATTTGTGCAATATCTGCTATTGGTCTAGATTCGACCAATCCTGTTGTGACACGAGTTGGCGATGACGTTTTACTCTTTTAGCATGTTTATACGAATAAGGTCGCAATTTTTTCACTGTCATATATGAATCTGAACTATATGAACCTGTTTTATAGGGGTCTACTGTATATATATTTGATAGATTTCAAAACTTTGCATATATGGTATGAAATCAGGGTCATAAAAGTTGTAAAGGCCACTAACTATGAACTGCATATAGAAAAATCATCAAACTTCCCATTAAACAAAATATTTGTTTTTATTATAATGACATTATTTTTACACTTATATACAGTTTATTGTTATTTTTGTCATACAGATTAAAAAGTTAAATAAAATAAAATTTGTAAGCTTTTATTTTTGTTGGTTAAATTACTCAAATTGAAATATTTGACCTGCTGTTTGGAGATAAATTCCAAATTCAGTTTTGGCCCACCTTTAGAACAAGGTTTGCCATTGATGTTCTAGATTTTCAAAACTTGTATTTATTATTATTTAAATTATATTATTTTATTCTACATAAATAAGTGCTATTGGAATATATAATATAGGATATAATGATTTAATAGTTATAAATAAACCATATACAATAAAAAATATAAATATAGTAAGACCCTGCTTAATGCGGGGATATGTTCCTAGACAGCAAAATGAAATAGCGAAAAAAATGAAATAGCGTTAAACAAGGTCATTTTAACACAGAGTAAATAGGGAAATGGGAACACGTGACCAAAAATAAACAGATTTTACTGTAATTTTAAATTATTTTTATATTAATTTGCATAATAATATATATTAAATAAGACATAAACATATGCAGACAGAAATGTAAAGTTCATTTTTTGTGATGAAGGTCCTGGCTCTTCCGAAATTCTTGGTTTTTGTGATAAAGTTGTGAAGTTTCATTTATCACTTTTTCTTTCCTTAAGCAAATGTAGGTAGCAGGAGATTACATCCAAAACGCCTTGTTTTGCTTTTGCACTCCTTTCAAAATCTGGATCATTTGCTACAATTTGATCAAAGATTTTGGTTATCGTTACCAAACTTTTACTAAGGAAATCTATAGAGAAATGTTTTGGGTTCTACGTCTTCAGAATCTCTATTTTCCAGTTCTACATGAATTCCTTGTTTTGCCAGTTCTTGAAGGTTGTTGGTAAGGCTCTTGCCAGAAACCTGCAGTAATTCCTCAACATCCTGCTTGTCTATCTCCTATGCTATATCAATTAGGTTGAGTTTGGTCAACCTAGCGATACAGCGATAGGCTCTCCTCGTTGAGAATTCTTGGATATCTTCAGCCATAACTTCTTCACACTTTGTTCGTGCATTTATCAGTTAATTCTTGCCAAGTGAAGTTGATATTTCTTATGGCATCCATGATGATATATTTTTTCCAAAATTGCACCAAACAAAACATAGATTTAAAGAAAGTATAGCACTATGACAAATTGCCTCCTTTTGCTGATTGGTTCATATTTGGGAATAATCGTATTATATATGAATCAATAAAATGCCGTGATAATTTGAATTGGCATAAATTTTGAGCTTATTCTTTTAGACTTTGAGCAGACTGCATTATATTGAATCAGCATTAATTGATGCAGCATTAAGCAGAGTCTTACTGTATATATTTATTTGTTTTTAAATAGAATAATTTATTTTTATGCTGGGAACTTTGAAATGTCATATTTAATTTTTTAATGGAAAACTACAAATGAAAAATTGTTAATAACAATATCAACAATTTAGGTAATTGCAGTGTAGCCCTGATTTACAAGCTTTGATATATGAGAGTTCAGTACAACAAACTGCTTTATTTTTCCCTCTGATTTGTGAGAACAATTATTTGATACAATAAGTGCCAACTGATATTTATAAGTAGAGAATATTTGAATCATGAGTACAATGAGATTAAAATTTCCATGCTCTTCAATTGTATGGTTATAGATTCCAGTTTCCATTTTCTTAGTTTTATTCAAACTGTATTCATTCATTAGAAATACCGCTAATAATTCTAAAACAATTATTTAGTTTATGAAACTTTATCTCTATATTATAAACCATTCTATCAATTGATTATAATTTTATTAATTAAGAAAAATTATTTTACTCTATTTTATTTCCTTTCACACAAATGTCTGATAACTTATGTTGTATGTCTTCTCTCATATCATATTCATTTTCCTCATTTCATATTAATTTCTTTTATATCAGTGAATAACTAGTGAATTAACACTTTCATTTATTTTATTTTATTTTGTTTAGAATCATTGGCTGATAGGTAAATTTGTTTTTAGGACTTTAATGTTATTTGGGAAACATAGATAATGTGAAAACAAGATAGAAATTTTGATCATAAGAAACAATGGAAAGCTGATCTGATTGATGAGATTCTCTGGAACAAGGTATGCTTGTAAATCATTACACTGTAATTACCAAAATATAGATTTATAAATTATATATTTCAAGTAAATACAAATGAATTTATTTGTTAAAGATATGTTTTCAAGCATTTTTATTAACACATACAACTCAATTGCAGTTTGTATTAAATAAGAAAAGCAACAAATAAATTTTTAATAATAAAAAAAAGAGAGAGAGAGAGAGTAATAATAATCCTTATAAAAAGAAAAAAATTCAAAAACAATACAAGAAAATAAAATAGATATTAGATTTCAGTTAATCTGTTAATGTTGATTTGTATTTTTTATTAGTTTAGCTTCCTCTAGTCGGCATAATCCTGTTCATATGTGGGATGCCTTCACTGGACAACTTCGTTGCACATATAGACCATATAATAATGCTGTAAGTTTTCAAATTTTAACTAATCCAAATTTTAAAACATTTTTTAATAATCAATAATAATTCTTATAATCATCAGAGAGAGAAATTTTTTAGTGTTTAAAATTAGTTTTCTTTCTTAAATTCATTATTTATATGAATTTAATTTAACAATATACAAGGATTGATTGATAAATAATGTCTCTTACCTCAATATTTTTTCAAATGGCAAGGATAGAAATGTAACCATCAGAGGTACAGGATATTTTCAGGACTCAAAATTTCCCGATAACATAAATTTTACGTACAGAATTTCCCTGAAAACTGTTGCACATTAGTATACAAAATAAAACATTTTATGAACAAATTAATTATTTATTACTATGTAGTTTGAATTATTATAATTAGAATAATTAAATAGGTCTACCATATAATTTGTCTCAAAACATTAAACAGATAAATTAATGCAAAAACTTTTAATTAAAAGAATGCTTTAATGTAAGCACTTTTTATTATAGAATTGGCTTATACAATTAAACTAGATGTAATAAATTTACATTGATTAATGGAAGTAAAATTGAAGTCTTGTAACAGACGTCATTGTCAACACTCTGCAAATGAATTACCTATTTTTAGTCCAAGGCACTAATTAATGGACTTACTTAGTTGTGCTTTCACAATATCCTCATGTTACATGATGTCCATCTGTGTAAAAATTTCAGTCAAAAAATTTTTTCTGCTTATCATAGATCCTAGAAAAATCATTGCAGGCATGCAATTGCATACAATTTTGAATTTTTAGATTTTCCCCTTAGTGGCATTCCAAAGGATCAATTTTGAGCAGTCTATTTTTCTCTGCATACATTAACAACCTCTTCAACAATATTAATTCTAAAGTTACAGCTTATACCCATGATATAAAACTCCTAAATCACGATCCTAAGTTCTACAAACTGACCTTAAAATTCTTTCTCTGGCTTTTAGTAAAGTAAATTTAAGAATCAATATTCGTAAAACTGTAGTGATGTGTTTCTCTCTGATTAGAGATCTGCCACTTTCGCATTTTTACATTTATAATCATATTCTAAATTATGTAACTTTGTTTGGCAACTTGAGTGTAATCTTTGACAATAAATTAACCCTTAAAGGTCAGAATAAATTTTTCTTTATTGTCCTATGTTGCATGCATTGTGTTATTTTTCCATTCTAACATCATTTTTAATATTGTGTTATTTTTCCATTCTAACATCATTTTTAATATCTTTGTACACGTAGTGGGTGCGTATTGTGAGCGTATTCTGGTGTTTAAAGATTGCTTGGTTGAGTCGATATAGACAAGGCTTTCGTTACATCTGTTATCTTTCAGCGGGATAGAATACACGCCAGGAAGCCTGCCACGAACTGGACTGCCTTTCCATTTCTGAGGATGTAGTAGATTGTTGGGCATCTTCTATAGGTTATTTGTAATTGTTGTTTTTTGGCGATCTCAGCGTATATCGCTTTAACATATGGGTTAAAGGTGACTGGGAGGCGTGTACGTTCATCTTGGTCAGTATTGGTCTTCGTACGCGTAGTGGGTGCGTATTGTGAGCGTATTCTGGTGTTTAAAGATTGCTTGGTTGAGCCGATAATGGAAAGGCTTTCGTTACATCTGTTATCTTTCAGCGGGATAGAATACACACCAGGAAGCCTGCCACGAACTGGACTGCCTTTCCATTTCTGAGGATGTCGTAGATTGTTGGGCATCTTCTATAGGTTATTTGTAATTGTTGTTTTTTGGCGATCTCAGTGTATATCGCTTTAACATATGGGTTAAAGATGACTGGAAAGGTAATCATTTTTAATAATGTCAGAGTGGGAAAATCACCATTGTCAGCTATGCTTGATATAATGGCAAGGTAGTCTGTAATTCTCTACAATCTTGAATGCTTGTCTCCATAACCTAGGATGTTATGACCTTCAATGATTTAAATGTTTTTGTGATGTACATGCCCAAAAATACAAAAAGTCATTTTCTGGTCCTTCTGAGGAACACCTCAGCTCTCCCATTATTTATTTCCAGTTGAACTAATTTCATATTAGCCTACACTATCACAAAGTTTGAAAGGACACGTCTGACGTGTCCTTTCAAACTGAAAGACATGTCCTTGACCAGGCTCCCTATAGGAGCCTGGTCAAGGACACATCTGTAAACTAAACAATGCATGACATTGAAGTTTGTCATTACAGAGAAGATGTGTTACTAGAATTCTCAGAATCATCAAATTTGAGAAACAATAATTACATGCAACATAATTATGCATGAAAAATTAGTGGAAAATTATCATGTTACACATATTCATGTGCTAAAAGAATAGCATATATGATTGGGGTTATTTTTCTTGAACCATATTCATACAATTGGACATATTCTGGTGATCACTATCATTTAGTAGCCACAAATGTCTTATCTGTAAGTGCTCAATTTCAGTTTGTTGTGTTGTGTTATTACATAACAGTTTAGTTTAAACATGAAAGTTGTCTTCTTCATTCCATGCAAAGAAATGATGTAATTGAGCTTTTAGTATCAGAAAGTTGTGCTCTTATTGAAATTTGCAGATTTTTGATAAAGTATTATAAAACCTTAAAATCATTTGAGAAATGTATTTGCAGAGTAAAACCAGAAATATTAAGGCTTCTTGCACTGTGATAATACAGGACTACAGCAGAGAAAATGGTTAAGAACTTGAAGTTACAAGTTATTCTTTGCTCTCCTTACAGCACATATCTGCACCATCAGACTTCTGGTTGTTATCAAAATTAAAGGATATTGAAACATCAATGCTTTTCATCAGATGTTGAAGAAAAAAAAAGATTGTTTTCAGGCATTAGAATGTAAAAATAAATTGAATATACAGAAAAATATGTCACTCTAAATGATGATTTTTGTTAAAGAATGAATATTAAAATAAACGATTTTTTACTACATTTTGAAACTAAGGCCAAATGACTGAATGGTTAAGGTATCAGCCAACCACTCTGGGAACCTAGAAACAAATCCTGACAGGTCAAAACCCATTAGAATTTTTCTGGGTGATATGTCCTAGAAAACAGTAACTTCCATTGTGGACATGGCTATACTCCCAAAGGATTTGATAATAAATAAAAAAAAGCCCTCTTATAGCTAAACACCAACCAAATGCCGAAATTCTATCAGGCTAGTTTAAGGCTAATTACTAAATGAATTACGTAAGCAATTTGGCTTTAGAGGTAAGTGTTAGGATTCTAGATTTTCAAAACTTGTATTTATTATTATTTATTTGAAAACTCCATACACAAAATTAATTTTTAGGAGGAGGGGTGACATTAATAACTTTGGTCAATAAATTATATTTACAACATAAAGACTCTACTGAGTCATTGATGGAAAATAATCCATGAATTCTATTTGCTGGATTTTTGCAAACATTATTAGTACAAAAAACATTATTAGGAAGTGTTGATAGATGCAAATATTCAAAATTCTTACAGTCAAACATGTAGTGATTTAAAGTCGCATTTCCTTTCTTACAAAACGGACACATTTCCAGTGAACGTAGATTAATACACAAGTGTTTCCATGTTAAACAAAACTTATTTAGACGAATCTAAAGTTTTTTTAACAATAAACGGTAGCTGCTAATAGTAAATGTAAAAGCACCGGTTGTTGTCTAATACTTCTGGGTACCATAAATGGTACTTAGCCTTAAGAATCCTGTCCCCTTCTTCTCTCAAGAAAAGATTATCAAACTCTTGTAAAATTATATTTGCATAATATTTCAAAACATTGGAGAGGAATCTATCAAGGAAAGTGAGATACCTATTCTATTAAATAGATTCTCCAGTTTAGTAAACCAACAGAATTTGAGCGATCTTTTCAATGAAAACTTTTTCAAAGTAGAATAAGCCTCACATTCCAATGATGATGGGTCAGAGATTATGTTTCTCAGAAAATTTAAGGTTAATTTAACAAAGCGTTTCTGGGGAAACTCAAGGCCCAGTTCAGAGCTAATTGCATATGATGGTATTGACCTCTCAAGATCAAAAAGACGATGAAAAAACATCAGTTCTAGAGTCGATACCCTCAAAACAAAAAGGCCCCCAAAAGGGCAGACCATAAGACCAACTCGAAGTAAGAAGAGAGGCGGCAAGTTTTTTACACAAAGCCATATGACTGATTTTAACCCTTCTCAAGATTTCTATTATAGCATTTATTTTGGAAAATGTTTTGCCTTTGACGTAAGAAATGTAATTTTGGAACGAGCCAGTAGCTGAGAGACGAATCCCCAAATATATAATTTCATTAACAATACTGACTCCTTTACTATTTAAGAAAAACTTATCAGCTTTTCTCAACCTTCCACCATGTCTAAATATTATTATTTTTGATTTGGATAAATTAATACTCAAACCCAAATTAGAGGAATAATTATATAACCTGTCCAATTTCCTCTGTAGGTAAATCAGGGTGGTGAATAACACCACTGTATCATCAGAAAATTGGAGTAAATGGACTTTGTAGTCTCCCATAGAAATGGAATCTTTACTTAAATTATCAAAAACTTGTACCATGTCATTAACATAACAAATAAACAATATCGGACTTAAGGAATCACCCTGTGGTAAACCCTTTCCTAATGAAAAGGCATCTGTAGACTCGGCACTAGTGGAAATCCTTGCTTTCAATTCTGAAAACAAACATTGAATAATGTCAATAAACTTGTCAGAGATTCCAAGCATTTTTAATTTAAATAACAAAATCTTCAAAACAACACTATCAAAGGCTTTCTCATAGTCAATGAACACTGCAAGTAAACGTTGTCTTTTCTTTGATAGTTGTCTACTAATGATGGAGTGTAGAATCAGAGTATTACTTAAAGTGCTCTTCCGAGGTTGGAAAGCAAATTGCACAGGTTGAATCAAATTCCTCTCTCTTAGCCAAATACCCAATCTATTTGCCAAAATAGAGGTAAATATCTTTCGAACTACAGGCAACAGTGATATTG